GGCCGCGGCCTGGCTGCCGCCCCGTGCAGGGTGGGCGCTGAGCCCCCAGGCCCCTCCGGGGCTGTCCTGAGGACGCCTCGGACCACGGAGCGGTGCTCGGAGAACAGGCGGGGCGGAGAGTAACGCCTGCTGCCCGTCGTCCCCCGGCGAGAGGGTCCGGGCCACGGCGGCGATCGCTCACTCGTGAATCTGCCTGAGGCCCCCGCCCCGGGCCAGGCAGCACGGGAGCCCCTGACAAGGCCAGGGAGAGGGCGGGTGTCAAGACAGTCGGCTCTGCCTGCACACGCAGAGGCCGCGTCCCCTGGGCTGGGCCTGGGGTCCCCGCGACCAGAGACTTCGGGTCCATCGAGCTGGAACGCAGGAGCAGCAGGGCCCCCTGCTGACGGGAGGTCCACTTTCATCCGCAAGTAAAGCCCCGACCACGGTGAGGAGCTGGGGCTGCAGAGGCCCCGCCAGGCCAGGGCTGGTGTCCCAGCCGCCGAGGAGGCCGGGCTTGGGGAGGCACGGAGGACGGGCTGGGATGCAGCTCTTTTTAAAACAAGGTTCTCGTCCGCCCAGAACCGGCTCTCCTAGCAGATGGGCCGACCTCTCACAAGCCCGCGCCCGCCGGTGCCCGTCCGCCCAGCGGTGGGAGGGGGAGGACACTGGCGTGGCTGGGGGGGATGCAGAGTGAAGGAAGAAAGCAGCAGCCCCTCCCCAGGCTGCCTCCCCAGGCCCCCTCCCCAGGCCCCCTCCCCCGGGGCGCTGCCTTCCGGGGGCCGCCCTGGGTCAGACGAAGGAGGCGTTTTGCTGGCAAACTGGTCTTGGGTGCGTGTGCTGGGGGCCGGGGCAGGAGGGGGCCCAGGGGAGCTTTTAAGCCCAAACACCTGGATAGAAAGCACCTCTGGACACCTACCCACCCCCATCCACCTCGTCCCCTGCCAACAGCTTTGTCTGTACTTTTCCACCGAGGACAGACTCAGGACAAAGCCAGGACAGTAGTTCATGCGAATCAATAGCAGAGGAGTTAAGGATGCAGCTGGAAACACTCTGAAGGCTTTGGCAACATCGATCAATTCCTTTCCACTGGCGTGAAAGGAAAGAAACTCCTTTCCGGGGAGACCAGCGAGGCGCGCAGAGCCTGGGAGCAGGGGCTCTGCCCAGCCGGGCCGCCCACCGGGAGGGCGCAGGGCTCTGGGGACACCAGACGGCAGGGGCCCCAGGGGGCCGGCGTCTGCCTGTCTGAGTCGCTGCCCAGGGCAGGGCCTGGGGGGGCGGCAGGTGCTCGCGAGCGTTTGTTCAGTGCACGAGCCAGCGGCTGAGCAGCGGCTCCCGCGGCCGCGGGGTCACGCGCACCCTGCTGCGCAGTGGCCTTGGGGCTCTGAGGGCTCAGGGCCGGCGCGGTGGGGGCGGGGGGGGGGTGCCCCAGTGCGGAGGAACTGAGGACGTCGCTGTGGGAGGCGAGCCAGTCCTGAGGACGGGGACTGTGTGACCCCGCCACGGGGCGGAGGTGCTGAGACTGGGGCGCGAGGCTGGGGGAGGGGACAGGGAGCTCGCGTGTGGCAGGGCAGAGGCTCTGTCCGGGAAGACGAGGACGCCCTGGAGAGGGCGGTGGGGCGGCCGCGCGACCGTGGGAACGTGCTTGATGTCGCCAAGCCGTGCACTCAGAAGGAGCGGACGCACCACCGTACACGTTCTCCCCCCCCCCCCCCCACAGCCCCTCGTCTTTGTCCACTCGGCCTCTGTGCCTCATGGTGTCCCTGAGGTGAAGCTCGCCACCCCGAGGAAGCGGGTCGCTCTGCACAAGGCTCAGGCTCCTGCACAGGGACGGCTCCCAGCGGGGGCGGCAGGCAGGTGAGCGGCTCCCCAGCCCCCGTGCCCCCTCCTCCCTTCGCAGCGGATGGGCCCCTGGCCCCCACACTCAGCGCAGGTGCACTCCCCCAGGAGGTGCGAGACCCGCCGCCGCGGGCCCGGCCTGTTAGCGCCTCGCTGCTCCTGCAGGTGCCCCCTTTCTGCGGGCTGGGGGGCGGCCCCTGGTACCCTGGGCCGCTCGCAGGCCAGGAGGCAGCCGAGTCCCGGGGACAGTGGCAGCCGCTGGAGAGCCCCTCGCTCTCTGGGCCCCTCGCAGGGGTGCTGCAGGCAGGAGGGCCTGGCCAGCGTCTCTGGGGCGCAGGCCCTGTGGCCGGAAGCTCCTGGCTGCACCCGCAGCTCTGCAGGTGCCAACACAGGGGCGCGGCACAGGGGCGCGGCACAGGAGCCCGGCAAGGAACGGGGGGCGGTGCCCGGGAAGGGTGGTCCGTGTCTCCACTTGAAGGCCCAGGCTTCGAAAGTCGGCTGAATCGTTTTGATTACCTAGCACTTATCAGGTAGCACTACTGCACGTTTCAGGCAGAGACGCTTCTGTAGCCGGGGGTTAAGACTATAAGCAGCAGCCCCGGCTGGTGTGGCTCAGTGGACTGAGCGCCGGCCTGAGAACCAAGGGGTCACTGGTTCCATCCCCAGGCGGGGCCCAGGCCTGGGCTGCGGGCCGGGTCCCCAGCAGGGGGGCGCGCGAGGGGCAACCACACAGGGATGTTTCTCTCCCTCTCTTTCTCCCTCCTTTCCCCTCGCTCTAAAAAGAAATAAAACATTTAAAAAACAACAACAACAGTCTACAAACCACACCGTCACACAGAGGGGGGAAAGAGATTTAATTTTATTTTACTTTTAAATTACAAAAACAGAAGCTCTCAGCTCAGTCACAGCGGGTTTCTGGGGACGGCAGTGCAGGACGCGTTACGGCGCGTCTTCAGTCTGCGCTTGTTTAGAACCCACGACAGTGCTCCGCTGGGGCGTGCCCGTGGCCGGAGACTGTCTTCGAACAGCCCAGCGCTGCTCTAACGGGTGGCTTAACTGGGATGCAAACTTCAGGGTCAGAACGACCCTGATGGCAGCTTATTTGCACCCACACATGACGAAGCAGCACCTCCCACGAGCCTGGAATCAGAAGGGCTGAGGCCCCAGGAGGGAACAGCCCGGTGGCGTCTGGGGGGCCCCCTCAGCGCCTTGAAAGCTGATGCCGGGAGACGGTCCAACGTGCTGGCGTGAAACTACGGGCACCAGAGGGCAGCAGGCAGGTCCCTGAGGCTTAAACTGCGATGCGTCCTGAGTCGCGGAAGCCCTCTGCCCACCCCAAGGCCTAGCTGCCACGAGCGTGTCCGGCGGAGACAGCCTGAGCACAGCCGCTTGGGCCCCTGGGTGCCCCTGTGCCTGGGAGCTGGGGCCTCGGCGCCGTCCGCCCCCCTTGCCGGGCGCCTGCGAGGCCTTGCTGCCCAGCTCCCCTCTGGCCGCCCGGGGCCGTGGGGCCCTGCCTCCCGCCTCACAACCTCCTCACAACCTCCGAGGGCAGGCTGAACCTGCCCGATCTTTACTTTACAAAGAGCCACACCGCTTTCCTTTGTCAGAATACAAAATGTTTGTTTGCTTTTTAAGTCGGGCTTCACAATAAGCATCCCCAGGCCTGTGAAGGCAGTGAGCCTGCGGCCTCCAGTCTGAGGGCGCTGGGGGGCGGCCGCCTACCTTGGCCACCTGCCCGCCCTGCCCCCGCCCCCGGAGGGGACCTGCCCCAGGCCCAGCGCCCTCGGTGGGAGGCCGGCTTCCCACTGCGAGGCCCTGTGCTCGGCTTCTGAGGTGCTCTAGCTTCTTGTGGTCGCCAGCCCTCCCCCTGACCCCCACACCCCAGGGACCATTTGACCAAGTTTCTGCTCCTCAAAACCTGGAGAGGCCGCCTCTCGGACCCGGGGGTCTGAGCAGGTACAGGCGCAAAGCTGCCGGAGAGTCGCGGTCGGTGGTGGCCCTGTACTGGCTGCGATCCCAGGCTGAGCCGCCGGCTCAGGCATCCCTGGGCGCCGGCCGGCAGCCAGGGACCCCCACACGGCCCCAGCGCCTCTGAGCGCGTCCGCACACCTGCGTCGGCAGAGGCCCCGCGGCCACACGCACCCACGTGCTGCCCGGCCACCCGAGGGTCACAAACACACGGTGCTTCTCACGTCCTCCCCCGGCCCTGTGGGTGGGGAGGCGTAACCCACAACACGCCTTTACCGGTCGGTGACGATGCAGCGGGCGCACACGGCGGACACACCTTCACGCCCCCCCACCCCGAACCCACCTCCCTGAAAAGCAAACTCCCTTTCAGGCAGCAGCCCATGTGGCCTTTGCTGTTCCTGTGGAAAGTCACCGTCAAAACCTCTTAAGAACGGATGTGCAAGAGGAATGAGAACCGATACCACCGGAGGTTGCTGTTTATTCCGGTGCCACTTTACCCGGAGAGAAGGTGACCTTCTGATGACCTTGACACAGTCAGTGAATTTGAGGGGCTGAGAGGAGGGATTAAAAGCCAAGCAACAACCCACGCCTCCTGGGCTGGTCCACTCGGAGCCAGGAACCCCACCCGGGGCCGAGCCCTGCCGGCATGCTTCCCCCTCGCCGCTGGGCAGACGCAGGGTCTGTCTCACTGGCTGGTGACAGGCTGGGGACCTGCGGTGAGCAGCACTAGAGGAGGGAAGGATACGCTGCTGTTTCTGGGAAACCGCGCTGCGCGCTGCTCGGCTCACGGACTCTACGCTCCGGTGAAGGGACCGGGAGCCCCCGCCACGGGCGCCCGACCGAGGGGCCGGCAAAGCCCCGGCGCCCACCCCGGCCTGCGCGCAGCCCTCACGGAGCGCAGGGCGACGCGCTCCCTCCGGCTCGGGCCACTTCTCCCTGGAAATCAGCCGTACATTACAAGTCAGAGGAAAAACCCACTCTTACTACTCTAGGGCCTCATTGTGGAATAAAAGCTGTTTGCCCAGGGGCTTTTGGTGGATCCCACACGTCCACGGAGGACATGTGCGCCGACGTGGCAGGTGTCCCCTCCGGCGGCCCCCCGGTGGCCACACGGTTCCGGGGCGCGGCGCAGAGGGGCGGCCGGCACGCGCACCTCGCTGGAACGCCCGCGGGACCGGCTGCCGCCCGCTGACCCAGTGTCCGCGCCGGCGCGGGGGCGTGGGCCCCGCCACCTACGTGGCCGGTGACCCTGCAGCAGCTCCCCAGTTGCTGTCATCCGAGGAGTCCAACTTTTCAGGTGACGTTTTACTAATATTTTCATATTCCTCTATTTCCAATGGGTAGAACGTCACTTCTGTGGCCAAGAGCCAGCCGGAGTCTGGGCAGGACGGAGCCCCTGGCCCCAGCAAACCAGGCCTGCGTCCTCCCAGGCTGTCCGGTGGCGACGTGAACCCAGGGCCCCAGGAAGAAGGGGTGGGACTCGCGTCACTCATGGGCTTTCAGGTCCCTCGGCAACAGGCCCCGAACCAGCGCCTCTCGGAAAGCCCGGGGCGCGGGGCGGGCTCCTATCTGCTCGTCCTCTGCTTCAGGCCCAGCTTGTTCCAAACCCTCTCCAGCGCCACTCTGCCCATGAAGAAGGTGATGGCAAAATTGCGCCTGTACCAGTCCCTGCAAAGGAACAGAGAGCGTGTGACACACCGCGGGCAGGGGGCGGCGCCCTCCCTCCTCGGCCCTCCGGAGAGCCGGCCCGTCCCCGAAGCCTCCCCCGCAGCGGGCACGTCGCAGGCCGCGGGGCCCAGCACCGCGGGGCCCAGAGCCACGCAGGCCCCGCCGGCCCCGCCGGTTTCTGCCAAAAGGCCTCGGAAGCCCGGGCCTGAGCGGCGTCCTTGGAGCGACGCGGTCGCTGAGGCGGGGCTGGGGGGGCCATGCTGCTCTGGCGCCCCATCCGCATGAGACACACGTGATGGAAGCGCCCCACCGTGAGACACCTGCGCACCCCCAGGGCCGGCACCGTGGACACCGCGCCCTCCTTCTGCAGGGGACCTGAGCTTTCACGCGGACGGTGTCTCCGAACCCTCAGCTCCACGTCGTCCCGTCCCAGGGCTGGGGCGGAGCCGCTCGCCTCTGCGCTGGCCCGTGGCTCAGGGCCCAGCCGCGCCTGCAGACCCACCCTGAGGACGGCGCTGCGCAGGCGGAGCCAGGACGCCTCCAGGACCAGGACGGACCCCGCGCCCACTGGCAGCGCTCGGCCCTCGCAGGCTGGGCGGCCCGGGACGAGAGCTCCTGGCCCAGGGCCCCAGCGCGCGACCGCGGAACTTCTGGTCCCGACTGGGCTCAGAAAAGCAGCGGCCAGAGGTCAAAGGCCTGCTTCCGCGAGGCTTCGCTCGCTCAGGTAGAAACCTTCTCCACACGAGAGCCACCCTTCTGTTCCTGTCACTGGTGCTACAAACAGGAAGCGGTGCCCTGAATGCAGAGAAAGGCAGCCAGGATCCCCGGCTGGCGGGGCTCCGTGGACTGAGCACCGGCCTGCGAACCGAGAGGCTGCCGGTTCAATGCCCACTCAGGGCACAGGCCTGGGTTGTGGACCAGGTCTCGGGGGGCAGGGGGGCGCGTGAGAGGCAACAACACGTGGATGTTTCTCTCCCTCTCTTTCTCCTTCCCTTCCCCCCTCTCTAAAAATAAACTAAAATCTTAAAAAAATTTTTTAAATTAAAAAAGAAATAACTTTCCACTGTAAATCTTATCTAAAAGTGCAAATACTGTGTTCAGAGCAACTTCTCCCTTTGATATAAACATGAACGTCGTTTATCTTGGGTAAAAAAAGAATCCTACCCACTACGGATGTGATACTCGAATTCTTAGGAGAAAGAGAGAACACCTACCTATTATAATACATGTGCTTCTGAAAATTTTTACATAAAAACTCCTTGTAAAACTCAGCCATTTCTTCTGCATTCAATGTCGCTTTTTGACCTGAAAATAAATGTCAATTTCAACATTAATACTTAAGGGAAAGGAACCCACAAACAACTAACTGGGACTTCGACCGTGACCGGAGCCCCGGGACCTGGCAGGAGGGGCTGGGGGAGGCGGGCAGGGAGGTCACCGGTCAGGAATGACCCAGAACCACCAGGGGGAGCGGGACGGGGCAGAGCGCTGTCCCACGGAGGGGGCCCTGAGTGGCGGCCCGGCAGGGGACCCCAATTCGCCCCCGACCCTCTCCTCTTTTCGCCTCCTCGCGCCCTCAGCCACGGAGAAGGGTAAGCGGACTGACCTGATTCAGCTCTCAGTCCCAGGCCTTTCGCCTTCAGTCTCGAGTGAATAAACTCTTCTTTTTCCTGAAAGACGACAACATCAGGACCCCTTTCTCCCGCCCCGTCTCCCCGGCCAGGACACGGTCCACCGAGCTGTGGCGGGGCCCGGACACGGGTTCCCGGGGAACGGCCTCTCAAAGCCTGTTGTCAGCCGTCAGAATTGGGCTGCAAGCTCCGCGCGCGAGACGGGGTTGGGAAAGGAGCTGTTTGGTGAGCTCTGGGAGGCACAGAACGGGGTGCGCCCGCGGGTGGGACGCGGCCCACCCACACGGAGAAACCTGCGCGCTGAAGGCTTTCCTGCGGGCTGAGCGCGGCTTCACCTTTTCTCGTGCGGTTCCTTCATGGGCGCGCTGCCAAGAGCCCCGAACTTTGGGAGGAATGAGAACACACCACAGAAACCCCCGTGTCATGCACGTGGACGCCGCCCCCCACAGCCGCTGCCCAGGCTCTGGCTGTGCTGCCCGCTTTGCCTCCTTCAAAGTCTCGGGGTCTGTGAGCCCATGAGTGAGCGACACGCCCTGTGTACAGTTACAGGTTGATTTTAGAAGTACATGCAGCCCCGACTGGCGTGGCTCAGTGAACCGAGCACCGGCCTGCAAACCAGAGGGTCGCCAGTTCGATTCCCAGTCGGGGCGCAGGCCTGGGTTGCGGGCCAGGTCCCCGGTGGAGGGGGTGTGAGAGGTGACCACACATGGATGCTTCTCTCCCTCTTTCTCCCTCCCTTCCCCTCTCTCTGAAAATAAATAAAGCCTTTCTTAAAAAAAAAAACCAAAAAAAAAAAAACACAACAACTCAGCCTTAAAAATAGTAATAAAAAGCCCATACATGTATCCATGCAAGCACAGGTATATGGGCGGGGGGAGGGACAGACTGAGACACCACCAAACACAGGGCGCCCACAAGTCCTTGGGAATGATGTACGCGTAAGTAAACCAATTTTGCCGGGTTAACTGACATAAACAAGAATTAAGTTCCTAGGGCGTCTCATCAATGTTATAAGGACATGGAACCAAAGGCTTTCGGAGAACCTGCTGTGACCGAGGCAAAGGAAACACTAAAGACTTAGCGCCCCCAAGTGGCCAACTGGGTTACTGCTCATCCTGACTCACCTTGCGGAAGGTCACATTCTGGTTGGCCCAGAACTGCTGGTTCCACTCTTGGGTTTCTTGTCTTAACTCTCTGAGCTTTTGTTCTGCCGCCGACTCGTCCTCAGGGATGTAAAAGTGGACGGGCCGAAGGTTGGAATGTTTGTCTGGGGGTCCTATCCAGTCATGGTGAGACTTCCTTGGAGGGCGGAACCTTGAGACCTTTGACGAAATGAACGCGTTTAGCACACAACTAAACCAAACCCCGGAGTTAGAAAATGAGCAACAGTCCAGATTTACGGAAGGTCCTGGTTTTAAAGGACGATGGGAAATATTAACATTGACATTACCGCAAACACATTCAACACAGGCGCCGGAACAATTCGACACTAACGCAAAGTGAGAATCTCAACGTGGACTCTGCACCGTATACAAAGATTGCCTCAACGTGGGTCAAAGCCCTAAATGTAAAATCTAAAGCTAAAAAGCTTGTGAAATGCAGTAGAAAATTGTACAACCTTGGGTTAGGCAAAGATTTCAAAGGCTTGTTCAGTACCAAAAATATAATCCATAAAACCAAACACAGATGGCCGGACGTCACCAGAGCCAACAGCCGGCTCTGCTACGGCCGCCGTGAGGACGGGGAGGGCCGCCACCGGCCAGGGGAACGCGCGCAGGGCTGCAGGGGGCCTTGTTTCCAGGGTGCGTGAAGGCTCCTTAAAGCTCAATAGTGAGAAAACAGGCAACTCAATTAGGAATGGCCGAAGTACCACAATGACAGTTTCTCTGAAGATAAACAGCAGACAAGCATATAAAAACATGCTAACGGCATCAGTCACCACGGGACTGCGAATCAAAGCCTCAGCAACGCACCACTGCACTCCTGCTGACCCGGCTAAAAACAAACAAAAACCAACAATACGGACAGTCAAACAATGGAGCTCCCAGACAAGGCTCCAGGGAATGCAAACCGGCATAGCCACTGCGGGTGGGGGCAGGGGGGGGGTGGGCGGTCCTGCCAGATCACAGGCGCCCTTGGCCCGCAGCCCCGCCGGCTGCCGCCGCTCCTGGGCTGATTTTCCAAGACGAATGAGTACGTGTGTTCACATGAAAACCTGTACATGACTGTTTAGAGTGGCTTTATTTATAACCACGCAGATCTGGGAACAGCCCAACGCCCTTCCTCCGGTCCGTGGCGAGTCTCAACAAGGATACGGCTCCTCCGCAGAGAGCTGGGGGCGCCTCGGCGAGCGCCGGCCCCGTGCTGCGGAAGCGGCCGCCCGCCAGAGGCTGCGTGACCCCCTGAGACTCTGTGGGAGGACAGGCTGGGGTGGACGCAAAAACGTTCTGTGTCTTGCATTGTGGTGGGCACGTTTGTCGGGAGTGAGTTTTGCTGAATGTAAATTGGACTTCAACAAGCCTGATGTTAAATTTTTTTTTTTACTTATTTATAAGTAAATTTTATTTACTTATTTTTAGAGAGCGGAGGAGGAAGAGAAGGACAGAAGCATCAGTCAGTTCCCTCTTCCACGCCCTCAGTGGGGGACCTGGCCCGCAGCCCAGGCCTGTGCCCTGACTGGGAATTGAACTGGTGACCTTTCAGTCTGCAGGCGGGCGCTCAGTCCACTGGGCCCCACCAGCCAGGGCTGATGTGAAAATTAAAAGGCCACTTAGTTCATCAAAAGACTACCTTTCCATTTGGGTTTCAAAGGATCGATGTCACCGAAGTTCACAGGGGGAAAATACCATTCCAATCGCAAGCCTCGCACACCTCAGTTTTTAAAAAGCCAACTCAGCCAAGGCACCGCGGAGAACAAGGGTTCCTGGGCCCAGGCCTCCCTCCGGAACCACCACAAAACCGGTGAGCAGCAGGCGGGGGCAAGCCACTGATGTGGGGCGCCCAGGCGGACCCCCAACCATCCCAAGCAAGGGCCAGGTCCCACCGAGGACAGGCCACGTGGTTCCACCTGTGGGACGTTCTGGGGAAAGCGCCCAGGTCAGCGCTGCGAGTAGAGGGGTCTTGAGGGGCCGCCTCGATCTCACTGGGGTGGGGGCCGCAAAGGGTTACACAGTTGCCAAAACTCATCAAACGCACCCTCTCAGTGGGTGTGTGTATTCATTTTACTGCAGGCAAGTCACACCTCGCTGAAGTCAATAAATGCACATCATCTTCAAAAAGCTTGATTTAGAAGAATGATTTGGTGGAAAGGGATGCAAAGTTTAACTAGGTGAGGCAATTACTGGTGAGGGAGCCTCAGAATGCTGAGTTTAGAGCGAGCCAGAAGTCACTGCGGGGGGGGGGGGGGGGGGGGGCTTCCGGCCCTGACCGCTGTGGCCTGGTGGGTTGAGCGCCGTCCTGCAAACCCAAAGGTCGCAGGTTCAACGCCCAGGCAGGGCACCTGCCTGGGCTGCGGCTGGGGCCCCAGCAGGGGGCGCGCGAGAGGCAGCCATGCACGGACGTCTCTCCCCCTCCCTCTCTCCCTCCTAGCCCTCTCTCTAAAAGTAAATAAATCTTTAAAGAAAGGAGTGTCTTCCACAGCTGCCAGTCGTTGGTGAGCTTGTTTCCACTCCTCCCTTCTCGCCGATTCAAACGCCGTCGTTTGTTTCCACGTTTGCTGGCACCCGTACGGGGCTCTGGGCGGCCCCGCAAAGCGCAGCTGCGCCGTGAGCAGCACAGCTCGAGGGGAACGTGCCGGCGGGAGGCCCGGCGCGTCTGCAGGGCGGGCGGCTCGCCGCTCTCACACGGGGGACGCCCGCCGCCCACCCGGACCCGCGGGCCTCCTGATCGGCAGGGCGGGCGCGGCAGGTCGGCCGGCGCGGGGCTTAGAATCCCGCTCGGGCGCGGGCTGCCCTCCGTGGGTCTTACGTCGTCACCCCGCGTTCCTAGCGCAGCATCCCACCCCCGCAGCCCCCGTTTGCGTGTGAAACAAGAGCCCCCAGAAGTCCCTCCGCGGACATGTCCGGACCCCCCCCCCCCCGCCCCAACCCATCCCCGGCCTCAGCTCCTGCCGCTCAGCTGTCCTTGGACGCCGGATGCACCGCCCACGGGGGCCCCCAGCAACAGCCCGCCCCCCCCCCGCACTAGAGAATCAGCTCCGCCAGCAGCAAGGGGCAAAGGGAAGGTCCCCCCAACCTCCGGATGACGACCCCTCCGCCGCCTGCCCCCCAGGCCCCCGCCGGAGGCATTGCAGGCGCCGTCCCAGCGAGGCGGGGAGCTCCTGGGGCGCCCCCCCCCAAACACCCAGCCCGCCTCTGTTCCCCGAAAACCGCCACTTCAAAGGGAGGGGGATAGGGTGGGGGAGAACGTCCTTCTGTAAAAGGAAATGTCGCTTTGAAGTCTGAATAATTGCTGTCGTTCCGGGTTCTGGCAGCACAAGCTTCCCCGCGGCGGCGTGGGGAGGGCGGCCGCGGATGGAGGACCTGCTGCGACCTGACAGCGCCCGGGCCGGCGGCGGCGGCACGCCCCAGCCTGTCCCAGGGCGCCTCCAGCGCCGCGCCCCCCAGCGTTCGTCCCTGGAGGTGACCCGCCGGCTCCCCCTGCGCATCCTGCCGTTGCCGCGCGGCTCCCGTCCCTCGGCCCCTCCGCAGGGTCCCAGGGCCTCCCTGCACCCGTCCTGCCGGGGCCTCTCCTTCTAGACGCCAGGACTCAGCGGCGAGACCTGTCCCTGCGTCCCCTTCCCGGCCAGTGCCCGCACCCAACCACAAGCGCACCCCTGAGTCCCGGCAACAGGCAAGGACGAGAGGAGCGGAACCTGGCAAGACGTAGGGCACGTGCGGCGGTCCGGTCCCGGTCCCCGTCCCGGCTCCTCTGACAGGGGGACCCGAAAGCCTCTTCCTTCTGGAGGGTTGGAGAACCGTAGACAAACCAGCACACCACCGCAAGGGACCGGTACCTTGGAACCGAGATGACTTGCTACCGGGGCACGAGGCTGGTTTAACGTCAGAAAAGCCACCGATCCCGACAGAACTCGCCCCCAAGGAAGTAGCCTTCTAAAAAAATAATAATAAATATATATATATATATAAAAATATGAGGTCAAGGTTCTAGAACACAGGTGTCAATTCACAGGAAACGCACAGGTCCGAGGGGCATGCTACGTCACACCATGGGGACTCAATCGGCAAGATCCAGATGGCGGGAACTTTTAAAGGACTCACCCTCTCCCCGCCCCAGATGAACTGCTTAAAAAAAGGAAGGGGCCCTGGCTGGTGTGGCTCAGAGGACTGAGCGCCAGCCTGCGACCCACACGGTCTCCAGTTCCATTCCCGGTCAGGGCCCAGGCCTGGGCGGCGGGCCAGGGCCCCAGCAGGGGGCGCGTGAGAGGCCGCCACACACGGCTGTTTCTCTCCCTTTCTTCCTCCCTCCGCCCCCCTCTCCAAAAGTAAATAGATAAAATCTTTAAAATAAAAAGGGGGGGATGCAGCCAAAACCTACAGATTAAAAGAGATACCAATCATGACATGTAGACCTTATTTCTATCATGATAAAAGCAAACTGTAAAAGAAAAGAGTCCTCCCTGCCCTGACCCGCATGGCTCAGCGGGTCGGGCGTGGTCCCGTACACCGAAAGGTCGCCGGTTCGATTCCCAGTCAGGGCACAGGCCTGGGGTGTGGGTTTAATCCCGAGCGGGGGTGCATATGGGAAGCAACCAATCAATCTTTCTCACATAGATGTTTGTCTCTCTCTTAGAGGATAAGGAAATAAACCTTTAAGAAAAAGCCATTCCTGACACTTCTAAGACAACCCAAGAAATTTGAGCATTATCATTTGCTGGAATTACTTATTATAATATTTTTAGGAGTAACAATGGTATTATGTTTACATATCTTTTTCAAGTCCCTACCTTTCAAAGATACTGAAATAACTGCAAATGAAGTTCCATGTCTGATAACTGCCACTAAATTACCCAGGAAGGGGGACGGCACGGGGGTCAGGATGAACTAGGCAGCCACGAACAGGCGACTGGAGGAGCGGGTGCTGGACACAGAGCGATTCTTTATATGTGCCCATCTCTGCGCACATTGTAAATTCATCCTCAGTAACAGGAAGAGCAAATCAGTGAGTCAGGGGAATCATCGGTGTTAGCAGAGTGGGGCGACCGCGCCGCTTCCCGGGGCGAGGAGGGGCCCTTGGGAACCTCACTGCGCCGAGCAGTGGGGGCGGAGCCACGCTCGCCACCCGCCGGGCAAACCTCCAAAGACAGAGTTCCGTGGGGGAAAAAGGAACCTTTTACTTGATGGCAGGTTTCTGCCTAAAATATCCAGGCAGAAGGGGAAAGGAAAAGTCGGAGTGTGACATCAGAAACAGCTGTTTAAACATTTGTCGCTCCCACTGCTCCAAAGGCGCCAGAACTGAAAACAGCAGAACCAAAGCCTCCCGCAGTGCCGGCTACGACCCCCTGGCCTTAGGAGATAAGGGTAAGTTCCTGCCTCAAAGCCGTTTCCGCCAAGACACCCCAAGAAAACCACTGTCGCCTCCGCCAGCTCAGTGCCCGGTTGTGCCTGGAACCTCTTCTCCCGCCCCAAGTGTCATGCACAGGGGCGGCCCAGCGTCTCCCGGTCCAGCTCCAGGCGCCTCTCCGAGGGGGCGTCCCAGGCCTCGGCGCACAGCCCGCACCGGCCGCCCCCTCGGGGGAAAGGACCTGCTGCCTTTCTGCTTCCCGGCGGCAGCGCTCGCTTCCGAAGTCCTCCCCGCAGAGGCCCTGCGGCCGAGTGCCCGTGGGAGGGCCCGCCCCCTAGCCAGCGAGGGCCCGTGTGGCTGGCAGGGGCCGAGTCTCTAGTCACCCCCGAGCAGCGCGCATCCCTCCTCCATTTGCTGGCGGGGGGGGGGGGGTGTCCCGATACAGTGGCATGAGGACCCCGGGCTGCGAGAGCGGGACTCCTCGGGGGTCCCCCTGTGCGGCACGTCACCGGTCCATTACCCGACCCCTCCAGGTTCCAAATTCCTCGCCTTTACCATAATGGAGCTAAACATGGTTTTTAAAGTCTTCCCGTCCCCCCTTTAACTTTCACCGACTATTTGCTGAGACCCTTTACACTAGAGATGCCCGTGTTATCTTCAAAGTCCTGTGAGCCGACCTCTCACCAGTGTCTCTGGTTTGAGTTTCAACTTCCTCTTACAATGTTTACGCCGCATTTGGCAGGTTGCGGATCATTCCCCTGAATGAAAACGCAGGCGAAGCACAGGTCAGCAGCTCCGCTGCTGGCTGGCTGTGAATGCTGCCTCTCCACGCGAGGGCCTGCTCCGTCGCTCTTTGTGACCCAGAAATCACTAGGAGGAAAACGGAATGCCCGTCCTCCGGCCACAGGAGCGTTACCAAGTCCGTATATGCTCCTTATGTGCGGGCGTTACCCTCTGAGAGAAGCGTTCAGCCTTACTGTCCCCGTGTCCTCTCCAGTAAAACGGGGCGACAGAAGCAAGGATGCCACGGACTCTGGGGAAGCAGTGCGTCCCCAGCTCTGGGGAACCCTCCGGCGCTGCCCGCGGGCGCGCCGTGCACCCCGGCCATCACTGCCCACAGCAGCGGCGCAGACGGCCAACGTCGGCGCACCTCCCGTGACCGGTGGCGCTCCGACCGGAGAGCGGGAGAGGCTCCCCTTGAAGTCCTGCAGTGTCACCTCGCTAAACCTGGGGTCGGGTGAGGGGGCGGGGAGGCTGGACAAACGGAGGAAACAAGTACACAGACAGCCGCCCAGCGCGAGGCTGCACCCCAGAGCCCCCACATCAGGGTCCCAGGTGGGGCCACGCGGTGTCCAGTCTTCCCTGTGGTCAAGGTTGCAGACAAGTTCAGAAACCAGGGACTTCGTTAAACTACACAGATGAGGGGTAAGCAAGCAGGAAGCAGTCCAAGAACACTCCACTACTGGCGGAGTTCCCAAGCCTAAGCCTACGTTCCTTAATACTTTTCTACTAAAAACTGCTGCCCAGCGATCGGGGAGGGAATCCGCGGTGCAGTCCCCTTACCTCGGCAGAGAGGAGGGCGGGCAAGAGGGAATGAAACGCGCCAGGATGAACTGGACACACAGGATTAAAGCTTATCTGCTCAGATGACGATCAAGCGAGGTTTACGACCTGGGACTCTGAAGACAACCCGATAGCGCAAGACAAAGCCTGAAAGACAGCCACTTCTGGGTGCCGCAGGACTCTGATGACTGGCGGGAAGCACGCAAAGATGCGACCGGCGCACAAGGAAACACGAGCGGCCCCGGGAGAGAACTGCTCCTTTCCGCCGCTGCCATACTGAGGACGGCGGGGCCCCACAGCCTAAAACACGCCGCCTGTCACAACGCTGGGACGGGGCGGGGTCCGTCGGGTGGATAGGCAGCCCCATCACCACCACCAAACACCTTCGTGCGCGGCGCAGGACCCGAGGTGCGGGACGAGGCAGGGCAGCAGGGGGCGCCTCCCGGGGATCGGGGCCCCGCGGGGCCGGCGCTGCTTGCCTGGCCAGGGCGCCCGGGGGACCTGCTCAGGGCCGTTCTGCCTCGCGGGAGATGCTGGGTGGGGGGCGGTTTCTATGGTCTACGAACAGAGGTCAGAGCCGCCACCCCTGTACAAGGGAGGGACCCAGCGTCTGGAGGACCCGTTGCCCTGGTAACTCCTCGTCTGAACAGTCAACTGGACAGACCTTCGAAGCCACGTTTATGAAAGACTGTTAGTAACAGCAGACCGAAAGCGACGACTGTTTACAAAGGCAGACACACTTTGGATTCTTCAAATTGGCTCTTCTGTGTCCTTCTTTAATGGTGTTTCAAGCAGGCTTTCCAGCCAGCCTGTCGGCAAACTGGTGTGTTTCCAGGCTTTGTCCGACTATTTCACCTGCCAGCGCTCTCACGTGGCCGTGGGAACAAAGGCCTCCAACTCCCCCCCACACACATCCCTCCCCGGAGGAGCGCCGCTCACAGGACCTGCCCGCCGGACACGAACCTCCGCGCCCTCGGGCCAGGACACGCGCACACGCGCAGTTTCCACAGAAGAAAAAGGGGTCAACGCGAAGTCCTACAAAATGCGATGACAAAGTTTGCCAGCGCTTGAACAAATACACCAACAATGTTTTCTTAGCACTACTCAGCTTAACGAAAGCAAAATGCAGGTAAATAAAAAAAAAAAACACACATGCTGTGCGCACCAAGCGCTCTTTAAGGAACAGTCACCCTCGAGGAGGAACGAGGCACGGACCAACCGCCAGCTGCCTCTGCGACAGCAGCAAGTCCGGCAGCGGCGCGGGCGCGGAGGCCCGGCTCCGCAGACCAAGCAGCAGACCGGGGACCCGGGGGCGCGGCGGCGGCCGCAGCGGGGCCCGCAGGTGCAGGGCGCACCAAGTGTCCCAGGGGCGCGGGCACCGTCCCAGCCCAACCTCTCCGGGAGCCCCGCTCACCCGACTGGGCGCTGCATCCCTGCACTCGGCGCCACGCTCGGGGGCGAACCGACAGCCGCGGCCGGTGAGGGCGCGGCTCAGAGGAAGGACACGGCTCCTACCCAGGGCTCGCCAGGCGGCCATGGCCGGCGTTCCCCTGGCTCCCACGGTGCAGTCGCGACGGCGCGCGGGGCTGCCTTACGGCAGGTCGCAAAGCCAGAGGGCGGGGAGCGGCGGGCCGACCGTGTGCGTTCCCCGCGTGAGAAGGGCTGCGGGGGCGACTGGACGGCGCGGGCGGCCTCGGCAGCCGCTTCCTGGCCGCGGTCATCCCTGGCTGCCGCACAAGGCGACTAGCGGCGCGCTCGGCACAGAGCACAACGCGGCAGCAGAGGACGATTTCCCAGGGTCGGGAGCGTTCGGCCCGGGGCGGGGCTGCCGCGCCGGCGACAACGGGAGTCGCGGAGTCACAAGGCGTCGGCGGCGGGACGCGCAAAGGCGCAGGCGCGCGCGATGGCGCAGGTGGCCCAGGTGAGCGCGGCGCGGCGGCGGAACGAGCTTCCTCCTCCGCAGGGCGGTGCGACCCCACCCCAGGCGCGGACCCGAGGACGGCCCCTGCCCCGGCCCTCGCGGGGCTCGGCGCAGCCGGGGCCTCGCGATCGGACGCGGGCGGGGCGGGGCGGGGCGGGGCCTCCAAGCCGGGCCGGCATCCGCTCCCTCCCGCCGGTTCCCCGGCCCGGCCGAGAGCGGCCGCCCCCTCCCCCGCGGGCCATTATGAGGTCAGGCTGGCGGGCGCGTCGGGGGCCTGGGCGACACGCCCGGAGCGGCCGCCGCGGCTAGTAGCTGCCGCCGCCACCGCCGGCCCCTTCACCGGCTGCCCCGTTCAGACCTAGCCGGGAGGGGCGAGAGGGATGCAGCTTGGGGCCCAGGGCCGGTGCCGCACCCCGTGAAGGGCTGGTCTTCCATCTCGCCAGCCACCTCCGGGAAGCCAAGACCAAACCAGCCTAGCTCTCTCCTGGGTAAAGTGCCAGGCGGGGAGTGGGCCGGGGAGGGAGGAAGCGGGCTGCCTGCCCTTCGTGGCCTCCAGAGGCGTGTTCGTGGCGCGGCCGCCCGCGAGGACTGGCTCCCCTCGGTTATCCATCCCCTCCAGTGAGCTGTTTCCTAGGAACCCGGGAGGCCAGTGAGCGCGTTATTCTCGGTTGCCCCATTTTGTGCGGGAGGGGAGGAGAGCGTGATGGGGCCTGGGAGGGACGAGGTCTCCAAAGCCCGCGGTGGGGCCCGTGGCCCAGCCCTGCCGCCCCCCCCGCCCTGCAGGGGAGGCCTGTAAGGCACGGAGAGGAGCTGGAAGCGGCACCGCGGGGGTGTCTGGGAACCACGGGAGTGTTAGCTTCTCTCAGAATTACTCTTTCCGGAAACTCGGACAGAGATAGCTCTTGGCCAGATGGAACCCGAGATAGGACTGTCAGCCTTGAAGGCGGAGGAGCCGCTGGTCCACAAACCGGCCCTGGCGGTGCCAAAAAGTGGCTTCCAATGTCGGACTAAGGTGCTGCGCTGGCTCCAGGCCGAGGTCAGACAGCGTTGGGCCGCGAGTCGGAAGGCAGGCCTGCCCCTGTTAGCGCTGCAGGGACTGGGCGTCCCCGGGCCTGGGGCTTGGGCTCACTGAGGCGTTCGGGTTATTTTCAGGAGTAGAAATTGGTTAGTCCCCGACCCTGTACTTGGGCATGGCTGTTCTCTGGACCCCAGTAACGACCAGCCTTTTTGAATATAGCTTTTCAAAATGAGGGTTTTAGAATCGTTCAATAAATGGTTCCCACTCTGCAGAGGCTTTGGCATGTAATAAGGTGTCGTTCCTGTCCTTTTCCAGTGTTCGTGAACCGGAACCCAACCAGAGAATGGATATGGGAAACCAGCACCCTTCTATCAGCAGGCTCCAGGAGATCCAGAAGGAGGTGAAAGGCATAGAGCAGCACGTCGCTGGCTTCAGCGGCCTGCCGAACGACAAGGCCTACAAGGACCTGGAGCGGACGCTCATGAAACAGCTTTTTGAAATAGACTCAGTGGACACGGAAGGGCGGGGGGACGTCCAGCAGGCCCGGAAGAGGGCGGCCCAGGAGACGGAGCGGCTGCTCAAGGAGCTGGAGCAGACCGCAAACCACCCGCACCGGATCGAAATACAGAACATCTTCCAGGAGGCCCAGGCCCTGGTGGAGGAGAAGATCGTGCCGTTCTACAGCGGCGGCAACTGCGTGGCCGACGAGTTTGAGGAGAGCATCCAGGACATCATCCTGCGGCTGACGCACGTGAAGACCGGCGGGAAGGTCTCCCTGCGGAAAGCGCGGCACCGCACGCTCGCCAGGGTCTGCGCCGTGCAGGAGATCATCGAGGACTGCATGAGGCGGCAGCCGTCCCTGCCGCTCTCCGAGGACGCGCACCCCTCCGTGGCCAAGATTAACGCCGTCATGTGTGACGTGAACAAGGCCAGAGGCACTCTGATCGCGCTGCTCATGGGCGTGAGCAACGACGAGACGTGCCGGCACCTGTCCTGTGTGCTCTCGGGCCTGATGGCGGACCTGGACGCGCTGGACGTGTGCGGGCACACGGAGATCCGAAACTACCGAAGGGAGGTCGTGGAAGACATCAACAAGTTACTGAAGTACTTGGACTTGGAAGAGGAAGCCGACACGACCCATGCATTTGACCTGGGACAGAACCACTCCATCATAAAAATAGAAAAGGTCCTCTCGAGAATGAGGGAGGTGAAAAACGAGCTCCTCCAAGCGCAGAGCCGCCCTGAGCTGTACCTGAGCTCCAAGACGGAGCTGCAGGGCCTCATCGGCCAGCTGGACGAGGTGAGCCTGGAGAGGAACCCGTGCATCCGCGAGGCCCGCAGGAGGGCGGTGATCGCGGTGCAGACCCTCATCACGCACGTGGACCTGAAGGAGGCCCTGGAGAAGAGGAAGTCGTTCGTGGGCGAGGAGCACCCGTCCCACAGAGCCGTCTGGACCATCTTGGGACACCTGTCGGAGATCCTGGGGGAAGTTTTGTCGTTTGACGGGAACCGAACCGATAAGAACTACATCCGGCTGGAGGAGCTGCTCACCAAGCAGCTGCTGGCCCTGGACGCCGTGGACCCACAGGGCGAGGAGAAGTGCAAGGCGGCCCGGAAGCAGGCCGTGAAGCTGGCCCAGAGCATCCTCAGCTACCTCGACCTGAAGTCCGACCAGTGGGAGTACTGACCGGCCCGGGGCCGGGGGGCCGGGGCGCCGGGGCGCCGGGGCCCGGGCTGCGCTCCGGTTCTGCGCTTCACGCACACGCGGGTGTGTTCATGGAGAGCTTTCGGTTCGTTGAGCCTACGTGTGATTTATACGTGCATATTTCAGTCTCAGTATTTATGATTTAAGCAAATTATATTCAGTATCTGCTGCTTTTGGTGTTGCAGAACAAATATCATTACAGCACACTGATTTTTTTTTCATTAGGATTATCTGTATGTTGTGTTTTTTTTTTTTAAATCAGAAAATGGAATATGGGCAACTTTTGTAATTTTTAACTGGGTTGTGCAAAGAGCATAACAATGCGTATTTCAGCATCTAAAAATAGCCCTAGCCTTGCATAACGCCGGAACAGTTGTGTACAGGAGATGTTTTTGGTTAAAGAGAAGTAAGGTCCAAACACGAAAGCCGTACAGTATGTTTTCTTATGCTAAATAAAGCGGAAGGATGTTGTCCATTTTTAAAGCCAGGTGGGTCCTGCCCAATTTACTTGGGTGGGTTTTTTCTTTTTTTGGATGGTCTGTTTTTTCATAAACTTTTGTTTGAAAACCAGTGTGTTTCCCCCATGCGCTGCATTGAGGGGAGAGTGTTATTTGTGTGTGTGACATGGAAAATGATGAATCGTTCAGAGCAAAGAGACCTTTGAGACCGCACTGCAAAGGGATGAAACGCCTGCTGATACTTCCACGTTCCTTTTCTTTATCATTAACTTAGTTTTCCTGAGTGAGACAGGAGGATGGGAGCATTTCAATGAAGTTGATGGACCTTTAAAAAAAAGGGGGACCACCCATTCGTGGGGTAGGACAAGGAGAACTGGCGATGAGTGGCTAGTGTCCGGCGTCGGTGGTGTGTGATGGTCGCCTCTGTCGTTCACGCTGCGCGTGGACAGGCTCGGTGAACGTGGCCGGTGCGGCTGGGGCGGGCACCGTCTGCGGGCGCAGGACCGGGCCTCCGCGGCTCGGCTGCGGCATCCTCAGCATCGCCTCCAGGCACCGGCTGTGCTCCCAGCTCGCGTGACGCGCCGTGCATTCTTCCAGGGCCGGAAAGAGCCAGGGCATCCTGTCGGTGCGGGAAGTCCTGTTTCTTCTGCTCACAGGGCACGTGTTTCTGTGAGTTCTTCCCGAGGGCCGTGGGTTGCCCGTTAGTGAACCAAACACATTTCCCCAAGTCCTGAAGTGCCTTGATGAGGTGTTGCTCGTGGGGTGACAGCTGACAGGCTACCCTTTCTGCGGTCGCCTGTCACCTTCCAGAGGCAGTAATTCGGTAGCTTTATGTGAACAGCGGAGAACAGGCAGGTGAAGGAACAGCCCTGTGTATCTAAAATCTGATGACGGCGTATCCCTAGGCAAGTTTCAGGTCGTCCCAGCGTCGCCCGGCCCTTCGAGCCCCACTGGGGCGTTCCTCTGGGCGCGTGGACTCACTGGGCTGGGGATCAGGACTGTTGGGGTCCCAGGGCAGCAAGCCCTGGGCGCCTGCTAACGGGCGGCTCGTCGGCCCACGTCGCCGTGCGGTTGCTGCTCTGGGTCGGAGCAGGCGCCTTGGAGCTGCACAGCCAGGGCTCCACTGAGGCGCCCGCGTCCGCTGTGCGTCCCCTTCGGACCTGGAGGTGCCTGTCCCTGACCCTGGGCCCCTGTTGTTCCCCACCAACAGCCCTGCCCACCCCTCACACCACATGCTTTCTGCAGGTCGCGTCGAGCTGGCTCCCACCAAGCTCTGAGCGTGCGCCGTTAGATGCCAGACTCAGCCGCTGTCCCGTGGGACTGCTCGTGCGGGTCACCAGAACAATCGGACCAGCCGTGAGTGGTTGAGGTGCGGGGTTCCCCGTGTTCAGCCTGCCACAGCCCCGTGTACCGTGCTGCCCCCCAGTTCCTTGCTTGCTCTACCCCCGTGAGGGGCCCTTGGGACGCTGGGCTCCATGTTCCCGTTAGCTCGGGCCGCTGCATGTAGCCTGTCACTTGGGCTCGTCACGTGTGGTACTTTTATGATCTGACGTGAGAATCTGTAATAGAAGTAAAACCTGCCCCCCAAAACTGTGTGGCCTGCCCGGAACAGTGTGATCCATGTTCACACAAAAGCGGCCGGGACCCGCACACTCTGCCTGCCTCCTTCGGTCCGGAGACGACAGTCCGCTGGTTCCGGCCGCGCAAATAAACACAAGCGACGTGTCAGCCAAGGACAGTTCGATGCTTTGTTTTCCTCAAATCCCGGGGCATATATGTTTGATGTAACTTGGCATGTTTAAGAAGCTTAACTGGTTTTCTCATTCCTTTCCCAGTTTTCATCAGGTTTTTGAGGCTCTAAGCTTATCTGGTACATACAGTGTTTTCAAGCAAAGCTTTTCAGCTTTTAACTTGTCTGGTACTTTTAATAACTGAAGACATATCTGCCATCGAATTAGGTGCGTGCTACAGGCACGTCATTCCAGCGTGTTGGCTCCTGTCCCTTCTCGACCCTGTGGCTATTGTGATAGTGTGTCTTAACTAGGATTATTCTGAGATACACATGTTAGCATAGCCTTAATTACTCAGTGAAATAAAAGGACCCTTCAGCTCACCCTCGCAGTGGAGAAGGGGCGTGAGTGGCTCCGCGCGTCTCCTGCCACGGAGACGGCAAAACCACGCCGGGCTCTCCTTCCAGGCGAACCGCCGTTCACGAGCGCCTGTTGTGTCCTCCCTGCTGAGCTAGCGGTGGGGAAACTGCCATCCACCCATCGCCTGAAGAAACCACAGCCAGGCGGAGGCGGCCGGGGCTCACGCCTGAGCGTCAGGACGCAGGGCAGTGCCGAGCGCCTTGCAGCGGGACGGGTGGGCACCACAGGCCAGGGAGGGTCTTGGCCCCCAAGGCCAGCCAGGAGCGCCTGGCCTCGGGGTCCATGCAAGCGTCTGCCGGGGCCCGTGTGGCACGCGCAGCTCAAGCCTGGGCCCTGCTGCTTCCGGACTGGGGTCCGCCCGGCCCTCCTGCCCGCCGACGCGGAGCCCTTTGCACCGGAGGCCACGGGCAGGACTCGTGGAGTTGATGTGGCCTGAGCCCCAGGCGGCAGGACACCTTTTCATGGGAACAGACGCTGCCACGTGCCAGCCCCTCCCACTGTCCCGTCTTTCTTGACTTACAACTGGGAGATGGGGCCTCCGGCTGGTCCCCAAAGCAAAGGTGCTTTCGCCCCTCGGCAGCCGGCCCTGGCCCCTGGCCCCCTCCCGTCTGACAGACAGGAACCGCCTCCCTCCAACTCATCCTCATCTGTGGTCACAGTTAACGCATAGAAGAACCCCTCGGCTCCTGAGCCCCTTCCTGCTGCTGGGGTCCTCACGTCCTCACGCTGCCGGGGCTTGGAGGTCCGCCACGTCCCAGGAGCCTGGGACAGCCGGGCACCTGGCTGCTGGCCTCTCCCGGAGGCTCTGGCAGGCCCTGGGCCCCTGCGTCCATGTGCCTCAGTTCCTCTGGGAAGCCCTGGTTTCGTCTTCCCGCGCTTACCCCTGACCCGGCCACTGAAAGGAAGGCAGGTGTCCTAGGACCAACACGGCCCCGTGATGAGGGCCATGTGGTCTGGGGGAGGGTGTCCAGCTGAGCGGGCTGGGGAGGGCCAGGGCGGGGAGGGTGCCATGGGGCCGTGCTGGTTGTGGGAGAGCCAAGGGCAAGGGAGGACGGCCCGCTGGGCCAGAGGCCCCCAGAACGGGGCCAGGCTCCAGTAGCTCTATGGACTGAGCGCTCCTGGGGGAGCCCCTGCCCCCCCAGGCGCAACCCAGGGCAGCCCCACCAAGCCTGGCCTGGTGACGCCCTGGCTGTCCCTCCAGGTGCAAGGCCTGCACCCTGGTGGCTCCGGAGTACCCCAGGGGGTCCCTCCAGGTGAGACCCCGAGAGGGATATCTGAGCCTCACCCTCTTGGGGGGGCCTGCCAAGCCAGGGAGGAGAGCAGAGGGGTGGACCCTCGGCACAGCCAGCCAGCACTGAGCACCTTCTTGACCTTGAAGTGCCCGGGCCGGTAGCGCCCGCCCGCCTGTAGGGTTCCTGAACCGCCGCCAGGCGGCGCCCGCGGCCCGGCTTCGCGGAGCCCCGGCGCGGAGGGCGCGGCAGGGAGCCGGCGGACGGCCTGCGCGCAGCTGTCGCGCCTGGGCTCCTGCTGGGCGCACCTGCCTCGCGAGGGTGGCCGGGTGGCCGCGGCCCGGCTGGGCCTCCTGCCCGCGAGCGGCGCGTGCGGCGCGTGCGGCTCGTGCGGCTCTTGCCGGGCCCATACGGCCGCGCCCACAGACCACAATCTGCAGTCCCCGTGAAACCCCGCGTGGTCACGGCTTCTGAGCCTCCCGGCGTTGGGCGTCCCGCGGGCCCGTCCCAGGCCCTGGCCAGCTCGCCCACATGGTGACAGGCGAAGGCGGGGGCGGGGCCTGTGCGCTCCATGCGCCTCGCCTCCAGCCTGGTTCCCCTCCTGGGTCCTTCGCCCCCAACCTTCACGCCCACACCGAATGCCACGCCACTGCCAATGCCACGGCCTGCCCGGAGTGCGCCTCGCATGCGGTGACTCCTCGGCCTTGGGCAGGCCCTCCACCCAGACCATCCTCTGCCCTGCACCCATGGCGGTGCTGTAGTTTGGGATCTGGGGCAGGAGGGCACAGCAAATGGAGGGAAGCTGGAGAGAAGGCTGCTCCTGGCAGCCTGGACCCTCGGCCTCGGGACCACGGCTGCGGGCAGTGGGCGGGAGGCCCTGCTGCCCCAGGGCCCGACCCCAGGGCGCGGGAGCCCCGTCAGGCCCTGTCCTCCCCTGGGCCCCAGTCTCCCTCCACGAGGCCGCCCAGGGCCCGCCCCAGGCCGAGGGTCCCCACACTGCACTGCGGGGCCGACCCCACCAGGACGGCTAAGGTGACGGCACCCCTGACATGGGAGGCGGGCGGGGGCGGGGCGGCTCCCCTGGGCCCAGCCCGAGGGCCCGGGGCGTGGCCGGGTGGGGGGCTAACCCCTGGTCTCCAGCAGCTCCCCCCGACCCGTGCCTGGACCCCG